TTGTTGTTATATGCCGTTGAGTCGGCCCCGACTCATAGCGACCCCTCCTTGGGTTTCCGAGGCAGTATCACTACGGAAGTAGGATTGCCCAACCTTCCTTTCCAGGAGTGGCTGGTGGGTTTGAACTGCCAGCCTTCTGGTTAGCAGTCAAGTGCCTTAGGCACTATGCTACCAGAGCTCCTACTTTGTCATAGTATCCATAATTAAAATTATCGTTCTCTATAAGCCTGCTCTTTCTTATGAGCTTCTTGCCTCAGTGCATAACGTTCCACCCTGTTGCCTGCCGCGTAACTAACTTTGGGTCCTTATTGATGAGGCTCCTGCCTGCTCCTTCCTACCGTTCCCCGCAATCCACCTTGGGTTGCTGAGTCATGGAGAGTCCCTCAGAGATGTCAGGCACATGCTGCTTCCTTCACCCCTTTCTCCAACTGTTTCCGTGGTTCACAGAGGAGCAGCTCCCACGGCTTTGTTGGCATATCCTCTCTGGAAGTTTCCCATACTACCTTCCCAACACCACCACACCCAATTTGGTGCTGCTTTACCTTTACCACTCTCCACCATTTATATACCCATTATCACACTTGTCCCATTGTGTTGTACTTTTTTGTTTACAACCCTGACTCCGCCTTTATACTTTGAATTTATCATTTGAGTTCATTATTTACTTAATCTAAGAAGTAGTAGAAGAAGATGGGCTCAAGCATAGCAACAGTTGTGAGCATGGCACGGGACCTCAGAGTACACATGGGATCACTGTGAGTCGGGACTGACTCAACGACACCTAACAACAAAACAAGAAGCAGCAGTAAGCTCTCTTAAAATGCTTATGGAATGAACAAATAATTGCAGTTTATGAGGAAAGAGATGATGACAAGAACACCAGACAGGAGGCTAATACAACTGTCTGAGTAAGAGTCCATGAAAAAGTGAACAGAACAAGGGTAGTGGAGTTCGTTGGATGAGGATAATCTACAAAGAAGTAAATACAGGCTTGGCGATTGAATAGGTGTTGGGGGATCAGAAACCCAAGGATAACACTAATTTTCTTATTTGAAGTAGTAAACAGATAATAGAGCCACTGACCAACAGAGAAAATACAGAAAGTTTGTGAGAAAGATATTGGAGGCAGTATGGGTACCTAAGGCTTAAAATGTCTATGAAACATCCAAGTATGGCATTCCAGTTGTTGTTGTTAGTTGCCTTCAAGCCATTTCTAACTCACTGAAACCCCATGTGTGCAGAGCAGGACTGCTTCGTAGGGTTTTCAAGGCTGTCACCTCTCAGCACCAGATGACCAGGCCTGTCTTCTGAAGCTCCTCTGGCAACCTTTTGGCTAGTAGTTGACCACTTGACCATTTGTGCCACCCAGCAACTCCTTGGCCTTCCAGTGGGTAGTTGGTTGAAAATGTGGTGGAGCAGCTGACAGACAGTTAAAGCCATAGGTGTAAATGAGTGAATGGTGGTGGATGTACCAAATATTTCCTGTTCTTTCTGAGTACATAGCAGGACTGCACTTCCTGCCCCCCCCCCCCCGTGGTTGGGCTGGTTCACATGACACATCTGCCATTGAATTGTGAGTGTAGCATTCAATTGATGATGGAAGACCTTCCATGGTATCCACACTGTTCCAGAGAGTAGATATCTGTCAGTCTTGGTCCTGGAGGAAAGATGGTGCAGAATGGCACATCATCCACTCCATGATGGACATGTAATGTGATTGAAAAGTAAACCTTGGTTGTTTTAAGCCACTGAGATTGAACGGTTTTGTTACCAGAGCATATTTTTGTCACTCTGGACTGATGTGAATAAGAGAAAGTGTCTTAAGAATGAAACCTTGGGGATATTAGTATGTTTACTAGATTCTTTTGCTAGAAAAAGACAGCTAGAGAGAGAGACAGAGAGATAGAGACATAGAGAAATTCAGACCATCTTAATTAAAGGATGAAGGAAAGGTAGTATTTATATGGATAAATGAATAGCTATTAAGGAAATTAGGCACATCTAAGGATAAGCAGGACTCTGGTGGCATACTGCCTAAGGCATTTGACTGCTAGCCAGAAGGCTGGTGGTGTAAACCCACCAGCCACTCCTTGGAAGGAAGGTTGGGCAGTCTACTTCTGCAGCGATACTGCCTTGGAAACCCAAGGAGGGGTCGCTATGAGTCGGATCTGACTCAACAGCAGTTGAGTTTGGTTTTTTTGGTTAAGGATAAGCTCCTCTCATTTCTTTCTCATGGTGTTTTTCTCTACCTCTTTGATCTATTCTCATACTACCAACTGGCCAATTTAACTTCTCTATTCCAAAGTTCAGAGGAATACAAACAATCCAGTTGCAGAATCTTTTGTTTTAACCAGGCTTCCTGGGCCAGCCAGCCTATGGATAGGCCATTCAAGTTAGGTGCCCATCCTCACGCAAACAATACCGTATTTACCCCAAACACCACATAGCTCCCCTGAACATGGGAGCTGTGGCCAAGTCAATGCAACATAAAATGGAATGTTTCCACATTTGTCCTTCTACAATTTATTTTCCACAGAATTAATGACAGATATATTTTTCAAATGGAAAGCAGATTGTGCCTTGACCCACACATACACAAATCCCACACTTCCAGCTTAAGACCTTTATATTGTAGTAGGAAAAAACTCCTTATCTGACCCACAAAGTCCTTTATGATCTAGCCTCTACCTACCCTTCCTACATCATCTCCTCCTGTCCTCTCTTTCACACTTCTCCAGCTACACTGGCCTCTAGTCTCTCCCTTG